GGAACAGGGTGCTTTTCAGTCTCAACCTTGCCGGTTGGACTTGCAGATACAGCCACTTAGACAAACCAAAGAACCGGGAGGCGTCGCCAAATGCGTGAACTTGGCAGCTGTCTTAGGCTTTGGTCAGTTCCCTAGTAATGAACGGCGCGGATCGCGTGGGCAACTTGATCCAAACGAGTCATTGTCACTGGCGACATCGGATAGGCGTCCTGGAACACCACAGGCTCCGCATGGAACCGGGGACCCCCCCGAGGTGGAACGGACGAATAGATCGAGGCATCGCTTAAGATATCCGTGCAACATGGAGCCTCGGCCGATTCATCGAGATTCACTGGACGAGGGATGATGTCACGCTCCATGAGATTAGCCGAGTTATTTTTTCCACGAACGTGTCGCCACGTCGACCGCCCCGAACGGGTTCTAGAACCCCAACCGCAACAACCCACACGCACGGTAGATCGAAAACTCGGCCGAGGGGGCGGGGACGCGTCAATCTTACCCTGAGAGGCAAATGTCAGACCAGAAAAAGTAATGGAAAATTGAGAAATGCAGAGAGACGTCTGATGTGAGCTTGCTTCAACACCGAGGCCACACCGAGAACCCATCCCAGGCGCGCCGCAACGTCTTACCCCTCACCGATTGTTCGCGCGCATCCGATGTCAACCTCCACCGAGGCTCAGCGCGAGCGGGAGGTTCAGCGCTACCTCCAGAGCTGGCAAGTCGCCCAGGGTTCTTCTCTCAACGTCGCCACCAATGTCGACAGTATCGCGGCGCCTGACCTGCAGAGCACAGGCTACCAGGCCAAGGCGTCGCCGGACAGGACTCTCACGGCCTTCTCCCAATTGGCCGTCCTCAAGCTCGACGTCAGGCGTGCCATGGTATCGCTGATTGACTCTACCACTCAGACCATCCTTTCCGAAGCCACTCGAAACATCCAGCTGGGAGAGCTTGACAGCGAGGCTGCGGAAGAACCGGTGAACAGCACGAACAGCGACCTATGGCGTATGTAGACTCTCTCCAGGAGACGGCTCCAACGAGCCATCATGTCGCCTGTGCCAAGGGTTGCCCTCGGCTTTGCAGAGTCGTGGGATGGAACCTACTCTTGCGGTGCCGTCATGCTGACCATGAAAACTTCAAACAGTCGGCGCAACCATCCTATCTCGTCCGGACGCTGTCTGCGAGCATTCCCTCATAAATACCTGCACCGCGATAGACTCCCCGAAGGATCGGCCGTACACCGTCCCAGGCCTCATCGTCTCCGACTGTCGCTACGACTCGCGCTTCGCAACCCGCCCGTATGTTTTATCGGAGCCTGGTGTTCGGTTTTATGCCGGCGTGCCAATTTTCTCTCGAAACGGACACAGAATCGGCTCCTTTGCTGTGTCGGATGAGCGCCCTCATGATGGACTCACAATCGAGGAGATCAAGTTCATGCAGGGCATTGCCCAGACTGTGATGGAGCATCTAGAATGGGCAAGGGACCGTGTGGATCGCTTCAAGGGTGAGCGTATCGTTCGGGGATTGGCGGCTTTCGTTGAGGATTGCTTCACTTTGAACGACGACAACATTTTGGCCAAGGACGACGTATCCCCGAACCCAACGACGATTCGCCCTCCCGAGATGGCGCTCAGCTCTTCGAAGCGCCCTCTTTCGACAGCCAATGTGTACTTTCGTGGATCCGGATCCCCTCGATCATCCCTGCCGACACACCTACGACAGGCGGCGCCGAACTCTCCACCACAATCGCCGCCAAGGAACAACTTCAAGCAATTTAACAAGCAGAAGCCTGATAGTATATCGAACCTCTACCACCGTGCGGCTGACATTTTGCGACGCTCGACACTCGCTGACGGAGTCGTCTTTCTGGGTGCGACGACCACAACCTCCAGACAGCTGAGCAAGGCCATGAGGATGGGAGGATCAAAGTCGTCCGACGAGGACGAGCAGTCGTTACCAGTCACTTCAGGCTCTGAAGGAGTAGGACTCGACAGCTCTGACTCTGACACATCACCCGCAGCAAGACCTTGTAAAATCCTGTCTTACTCCATCACTGATGAGCAGACACGCGCTGGCATGGAGCAGGGCCCTCCTCTTTCACTCGGAACACTTGAGAAGTACTTTGCCATGTTCCCAATGGGGAAAACGTTGTCCTTCACCGAAACTGGGGCTGGCGTTTCCTCGGAAGATGACAGCGCAAGCGACCGAGAACTCATCAGAACAGGGCCCCAAGCAGGCGAAAAAACCGGAGAAGGTAACAGGCGCCGAAAAATTAGGATGGACCACGAAGAGCTTCTCAAGAAGATCCCCGGCGCAAAGTCTGTGGTCTTCGTTCCTCTTTTCGACTACAGTGAAGACAGATTTGCTGGAGGTTGCTTCTTGTGGACGTCAGTCACTGGGCGTATGATGAATCTCGACCAAGACCTCTCTTACCTCCGAGCTTTCAGCAACAGCATAATGACTCAAGTTGGACGTATCAACACACAGAAGAACGAGGCCGCAAAGACGACATTCATTGCCAGCATGAGTCACGAGCTGCGCAGCCCTCTTCATGGAATTTTAGGCTCAGCAGAACTTCTCAAGGACTCCGATACCAATACATACCAAGCGGGCCTCGTAAACTCCATCTCTACTTGCGGCAAGACGCTCCTCGATACTCTGAACCATGTTCTCGACTACAGTAAAATCAATCGACTGGGACGTGCGCAAATGAGGAAAAGCGCAAGGCAAAACAGGCCCGTCGTCCTGTCTTCTGACTCTCTTGAGAGTCTGAGCATGACGGCAGTAGTGGATCTCGGTGTTCTCGTTGAGGAAGTTGTCGACGCTATTGCGGCAGGCCACTCATTCAAGAAACTTGCGGGCGCAGCCGCGCTGGGATCAACAAAAACAACTGCAGGTCAACTCGGAGGACCCATCGAGATTGGCAAGTACCAAGCTCCGGGAGCCGACGGGCCTGTCTCGGTGTTGGTTGACATCTGTCCGAAGACTTCATGGATGGTGAAGACGCAACCAGGCGCTCTCCGCAGGATCATTATGAATCTCTTTGGCAATGCTCTAAAGTACACCACGTCAGGATTTGTGCTTGTTTCTCTTACTGGCCAAGCCAGGTCAGATGGGTCCAAGGTCAATGCTCTGATCAGGGTTGCAGATACTGGCAAGGGCATAAGTGACGATTTCCAACAGAACCGTCTGTTTATCCCCTTTAGCCAAGAAGACTCATTCCAGCCTGGCACCGGTCTTGGCTTGAGCATCGTCAAGCAGATTGTGGACTCTCTTGGTGGCACTTTAGAAGTCAAGTCTGAGCAGGGCAGGGGAACGGAAGTTGACGTGCATCTCCGGCTTGCACCTGTTTCCGACCCAGCAGCTCATCAACCTGACGAGGCCATTCGCTCAGTCGCGGAACAAACAAAAGGCAAGAAGCTTGTGCTCTTGAACGGATTCACCACACCACAGCCTGCGTCTGTCACCCGACAAGTTTCCAAGATCAACGAGGTGCTTTTCAACACTTGTTCAAATTGGTTCGGCATGAAGGTAGATAAAGAAACCAACACAAACGTGTCAGACGCCGACATGTTCGTTTACTGCGAACCACCTCCTATTGAGGTACTCGAAAAGCGATTCCGCGACCATCAAACGCCCTCAGCACGGAAGGTTCCGATCATTATTGTCTGCCAAAATGCGGAAGAAGCGGTTCAGATTTCTCATAAACATACAAAGGTCTTGGGCCAGATGTCTCAGATCGTTGAAGTGATACCACAACCGTGAGCCAAGCTCTTCATTCTCATTGCCTTAAGAATATGACACTGATTTCGATACAGTTGTGGTCCACGAAAGCTAGCCAAGGTCTTCAGCAACTGTTTAAAGAGAGCAGAAGCGGCTGCAAAGGCGCCAAACGGAGAGAGTATCTCGGTCACCGCATCAAATGCCGAAATGGAGCCAACGATCAAGGAATTCCCGATGGGCACACCACAACCAGACGACAGAGTCATTGTACACTATGACCAACCCCCTGAAGAAGTCAAAGAGGAGCTAGTTTCGTCTCGTGCAATCAGCAAGTCGCTAGGCACGGTGCAAGTCAAGGAAATTGGCGGGACTGACTTGAAGGAGCGCAAAGACAGCAAGCTGCACGTGTTGCTGGTGGACGACAACAAGATCAACCTGAAGCTTCTGGTGATGTTCATGAAGAAATGTGGCTACTCGTACGAGGAGGCAGAAAACGGACAAGAAGCGGTCGACAGGTTCAAAGAAGCTTCGGGAGTCCACATTTCAGAAGACGCACCCGAATACGAGAGACCGCGTCGGTTCGACTTCATCCTCATGGACATCAGCATGCCGATACTCAATGGATTTGAAGCAACCAGGTATATCAGGGAGTTTGAGCGCGAACACCGGATGCAACCGCCGACGAATGTTATCGCGTTGACGGGTCTTGCGAGCGCTGACGCAAGAAGGAACGCCGAATCTGTGGGCATTGATGTGTTTATGCCGAAGCCGGTACGATTTGCGGAGTTGAAGACGTTGTTGTTGGCAGCTGAGACGCACGGGCGATGATAATGATCTATGGGTTGGGTGGGATTTGTTGACACCATTTCCTGGTTTTCTTTTTTTTAAAATATTAAACGCGACTAGATGGAACTGGTTTTCAATCATAAGTTTCAATTCTCCTTCTGGCAAAGCATTGCACATCCGAACTTGCTCTCTCTCTCTCCCCCCCTCAAACCCGTCCAGTCTACCTTGACCTATACAACCAATGAGCCACAAGCACCGCTTCTAGCAAACAAGTGTTGGGGTAAAAGCAGAACCTGCGCAACCTTATTTGGTTATCCAATGATACACTGGTCTTAACATCAATCCTGAGGGTAAATGGGAGCCGATGACGGGTCATACGTCGTACCAAAACCGTCGGCAAGGGTTTTGCATGCATCATGAACCAACTCCCGGCTAATTTGGTGTATACTAACGAACTTGTCAGTGCCTAAAAAGAATATTTGGAAATATACGTATTACCCTGCAAGAATCAGCACGGAATGCGTGGCTCCTCTGTAAACCTTGGTATCAACGTCGACACCAGCATCCTTCAGTTGCTCTGCGTACTTGAGACCTTCAGGCGCCAAGAGATCAATCTCAGCAATAGCAATCCAGGTTTTTGGACTTCGTGTCATAATGTCTTTGGGTGCAAAGCATGGCGATGCATCCCAGTCTCTCTTGTTTTCATGGTTCGGGAAGTAGAGGCTTTGGTACCAAGTCATTCGCCCAGGCGTAAGCCAGGGAACGTGCTTGGAAGCGGACCACACAGTCTCGACGGTGGCAGTGCTGTCAATGACTGGACATATGAGGATTTGAGAAATGGGGGCTGGTGTCACGTTCTCCAGAGAGGCTTTCATTGTGAGAACAGCAGCAAGACTTCCACCGCTACGTCTATCAGTACCTGGACGAGAATTGAATCACTTGATAATTTACTTACGCAGATAGGCCGCCGATTGTCAGAAGAGAGGTGTTTATATTGAGATGCGATGCATTAGCAGGCTCAACTACCCATCTCAGTCCAGTCAGGCAATCATATACAGCAGCGGGATAGACGTGCTCGGGGGCATGGCGATAGTTGATGGTGATGATCACGCATCTGACGTCTGTGTTCTGTTAACACCTGCCTCGCATATTAAGAACGGGAGCTCACATTTGCAAACATGCGTCAAGAATCCATTCTCACTGTCTAATCCTCCGTTGACCCAACCACCTCCGTGCAGCCACACCAAGCACGGCCATCTTCCCGGGGGCGCTTCGCCTTCAGGAACAAACACGCGGACTTGAATGCCGCCACCGAGTTCCTCATCCCAGGTTTGACCAACTCCGGTTAGTTTCTGCATGGCATGTGCAAGAGGATTCGGATTCAAGCGTGAAGATGGATCCCATGGCTGGGCTTCTGAAGGCTCTATGAATTGGATAATGCTGTCATGGAGAGCAACATATTCGGGGTCCAGCTTCTCGCGGACAGATGGGTGAATGGGCTGATAGATCTTCCTGATTTCACTCATATTGAGGAACTGATACCGACAATTCTAGACTGCGAAGTTGAGAATGAAAAGTGTCGTTGTTGCGGAGAATGTGCGCAGGCTTTCAAAAACACTTCGACCGGGTGTCTCATGCTTAATCATGGCCTGCGGATTTGCCCGTTCCCGGCAATCGCCGGCAAGACCCATCAAACCGGCATTTGATCGGAACTTCGGAAGCGAACACGGAGGTCTTACATCATCATGGAACTGACTGTGAGGAAGATATTCAGAACAGAGCCTTGATTTCACAATGACATGCTTGAAGAACTTCAATGGAATATGGTCTAATGCATTTGGCTGATAGATGGCAGCTTGATACCACAGGCTTGCGAAGAATCTGTCTATATTAATTATTTTGTTGATCTGAAGAGCCATTCAAAACCAGCAGGGCTTAGCATACTTCTATAACCTGAAGATTTTGCTAGCGACACAAAATGGGCACAATTTTGGACGTGCGTGGTGCCAAATTACTTCATCGATTGACGCGGAAAAGACCCGGTTTCAACGCATTACCTGCTGGGCGGATAAGTTCAAAGTACCATTCGGCGGTGTCCAACGGCTCAGGTCATTGTCTTGGCAAAATGGCGATGCTGCAGGGGTTTTAATATGAAAGGCGTCGCTGCCCAGTCACATTGAACATGGTGCCAAGGATCTGACGCAGGCAGTCCAGTCTAACAAACAACCGAGGGAAATAAATCGATTCGCCCGCCAGATAGGCCCTGATCTTCCAGCCCGGGATAAAGCGCTGATTGGTGTATAAATTGTTTCAGGGAGTCGATCACAGAGATTAGGAAGCTTTTGACGGTCTTTTGGGACCAGCCGCACTTTCGACTGGCACTCACCTCCCGCTCTCGTTTGACTGCAGCTGCGCTGTGCCGGCATCCGTGATTACTCGCAGACAGATTTGAATGCCGACATGGAAGAAACGGCTGCAGTATCCGCGGATGTTACCAGGTCTCGTCCGTTCCATAAGGCGAGCCAGCTATTGATGCGTTGATAAAGATGGTATGTCGTTCAAAAAAGGTACGAACTTCACAAAGGAAAGTTTATCAGTGAGCTCTAGGGTGCAAATAAGCATCAAGGTAAGCTCATCGAGTTCCCCGCCGCGAGTAGCTCCCCAATGGCTTCCCCGCAAAGACCGACCCTGGGCCCCGCAGTCTAAGCCAGGGTCTGCTTTTCCGTCCCCGTGGAACAGCATGAAGCTGCTCGGTACTCGGCGTAGGATGATGTCTTCTCTACTAGTCCAAGCATGCGGCAGACATACGATGGAATACGCAGCTGCAGCTCAAGACAATGCGTCGGATAAGCAGAAGAAGACTGACCGCAGGGTCTTGGCCGATCTTGGGTCAGTGAGGGGAACCTTGTCGGCTGCGACTTCACGAGATTGATGAATTCTGTGGAGGTAGCTTGATATGGCTGGAAATTTGTATAAATAAGCGTAGGTACAAGTAGGCAATTTTTTCTTAGAACTGCAAGCGCCTCATTGACTCTATCGAAGAACTTCGCAGCAATATCAAGCCTGCAGTCCACCTTCAAGATGAAGGTCTCAACTCTTGTCACGACTGCGTTGGCGAGCGCCACCTTCGCAGCCGCTTCCGTTTCCCTTCCAAATGGATGGTTCACAGTTCCACCGGATGAGAAGATCAAGACAACCAAGTTCAAGGGGGAGACCCGATACCTTACGTGGATGGCCGATTCCCAGATCAAGCACGGCGTTGAACCCACCTTCGCCTATACCGTTTCAGCATACTACTCCGGTATCCTTCTGGCATACAACCGAACCGGCGATGAGAAGTACTACAACTATGTCAAGCACTATGCAGATGTCATTCTGTATCCGGCATGGAATGGAGAGATTCTGTTGTACAACAACAGCAACTCCATTGACGACATCCGTTTTGGTCACACGTTTCTCGACTTGTATAAGTTCACTGGCAACGAAATATACAAGATAGCAGCCCAAACACTGCGCAACCAGATCGATCGCACTGGGCGCACGCCCACCGGAGGATTCTACCATAGATACCCCGTTTACATCGATCAGATGTGGCTTGATGGCATCTACATGTTAGATGTGTACTATGCTCGCTGGACCCACGAGTTCGATGCCGATAACTCCACCGCCTGGGACGACATCGCCCTTCAATACGACCTCGTTGACGCCGGAACAATCTCCGAGCGTGAGCGCACCAACGGTCTCCCGCTTCATGGTTTCGATTGGAGCAAGAAGGCCATCTGGGCTGACCCAGAGACTGGTGCCTCCCCGCATGTTTGGGGTCGTGCAGTCGGTTGGTACATCATGGCCCTGGTTGATACCCTGGAGCTCTTCCCAGAGAACCATGCAGGCCGTGAGCGCTTGCTGAAGTACCTGCAGTCCGTCGCCGATGCCATTGTCGCGGCGCAGGATAAGAAGACCAAGGGGTGGTGGCTGGTTATGACTCCCGGCACTGAGGGCCAGTGGGGTAACTACATCGAGAGCTCAGGCTCTTCCATGTTCGTCTATGGCTTGCTTAAGAGTGTACGTCTCGGTTACATCACAGGGGATAAATATCTGAAAGCTGCCCTGGATGGTTACAAGCTCATGACGGACACGTTTGCCGAGGTCCGCAAGAACGACAATGCCCTTCTATACGAGTGGACTGTCCAGACTGGTAGTCTGAGCTCGAACGGCACATTCGAGGTGAGAAAGCTCTCTTTTCAATTCTCAACAAGCTCATGCTAACATGACCCCAGTACTATGCAAGCCAGCCTTTGTTTGAGTCAGACCTCAAAGGAGTTGCGCCTTTCTTATTCTCAAGCTACGAGTATGAATTGTATTTGGAAGCGAAGAAACAGCCCAGGAAATAGACAGGCTATAGTATTACAACTTCAAAGGCAGATCCATAGAGACTATTTGGCAAATAAACAATTCCGTCACGGGTGGTAAATGTTACATTTGAAATTCAGGTCCTTGGCGACGTAGAAAATGTTGATTTGAAAAGTCCCTTCGACCTATTACTTTGAATTATCTAGGAAAGAGAGACCTGGCACAGTTGCTTATGAAGTGCCTGCGCGACACCATCGGCTCTGTTGCTGAGCTTGTTGATTCGTCTGCCGCTAGATATTTTGGTCGCCTAGAGCCTTCTCTTTCCGTTGTTCTTTCTGGTCTTCTTGCCAGTGTTGGTGTTGTTACTGGTGTTGCCCGCACTAGAGCCGCTCACGCGCTCGCATCTCTCGCCACCGTCTCCGTTGCCGCAACGAAGGGGCAACAGACAACATCCATCGGGGTCAGCGAATTGTTCGAGACCGTTTGCGCCTTTGCCGAGAGACTTGCAATCCGGTCCATCGGGGAAGCCGCAGCTGTCGCAGAATAATCGGGTTAGCTTACGGTATTGGCAAAGGCTTTTCCTTCCATGTGCCACATAAAGCCAAGGAACTCGAAGACCTCAAACACAATCGAGAAAGGAGGCGCGGCGCGACCGACCACATTTACATACCCGTTCTGTGCGAGGACGCCAGCGGCGCAAGCAGAGAGGATGATAGAGAAGAACTTCATTATGAAAGTTGTGATTGAAAGATTCTGCGCAGCAGATTGGAAAAGAATTAGAAGTCTGGTCGGTTGGAAGAATGCACGAGAAAGTTGTCGCTGGGATCGAAGCAATCTCCAATATAGTCGGTGCGGGCTCGATCAACCTTTATACTGCCAAACGAGCATGATCTGTTTACCATCTCTCCATGATTCTTGTAGCATCGCTTCCCAAACATCTTGGCGATGGGTACTCGTTGTTTTGCTGCGTAGCATCCATCGCTGACACCGAGGAATACGACACTCTCGGTGGCAGACCCCAGCATCCCTGCGAAACCTAGTGCCAAACTAAGCTTACCGCGCAACCATCAGAGTTGCTTCATGGCATGTGTCACAATGGGACGACAGTTGAGAGACAGGGGTCATGACTCCAGCTTTCGCTTGGCTTAAGCCAGTCGCTCACGAGCGAAAATCTGCAAATCCTGCGTTCATCAGGGGCAGCTTATTTTTCCTGCTGAACCTTTCTGTTGCATTGCGTTTACTACCTTGCAGCAGCCCGAAGATAGGAGCAGCGGAGCCTACCGCACGGCAGGAGCGGACTTGGCACTTCGGAATGCTCCAGAGGCTCCTGCCCTAGGTCAACTAAGCCTCAACACGCCCATCCCAGGGCCTTGACAAGCAATATGGAGGAGACTTCCTCGGCGAAAGCTATTCTCTTGTCATCACAAGTCGCCTCAACTTAGAGCCGAGCACATACGGAAAGCGTCGTTCAAGCGCTCAAAAGGAGAGCGCGGAAGCGGGGAGTGCACTTGAGCCCGCAAATGTGTACACTTGGTGGGAAAGAAGTGCAACGGCGGGATGACCTTGAATACGAGCCATACGAGCACCCGATAAGAAGAAACCTAACTCAAACAGAACAGATCAACTGAGAATCGGTTACCCTTGACGATTTCATTGCAAGCCATCGGTTAGCAGGCCCCAGCAGGACTTATCCGCAGGAATCCGGCGTAGAATCTTCGAAAAGCCTTCTTTTTTCGCGGGTCTGTCGGAATATCACCATACGTTATTAGAGTTACGGGGACATCAAAGCGACCTTACAGGGCTGCGGTTACATGCGGACACCTTGCAGTGGTGCTGGTGCTACCCCAACCACCCCTGTTTCAAAGCCTTAAAGATTCAGCTGAGCAGCCAAGCAAGGGCTGTCCCACCGGGAGAAGGGGCAAGAGAGTTTCAGTGGGGAGTTAATCTTGACGCGCGCGTTACAATAACAAGACTTCAATAATTGGCGCCTGCGTCTGTGACTTTTACCATGGATCACTCATCCCGCCGGCTCGGTTGAAGGAATGAGACACTGCTGGCAAGGATCAGCTTACGGGCATAGGTTGACGATAATCCCGGGGCAAATGTCCCCGTTCGCAACTCGTAAAATGGACTTGTTCGTAAGACGATGAAACTGACATTTTTGATTCTATCTAGA